CGCATGCTTCTGCTGCCCATATTACCGTGGCTACATTACTACTTTTTTGCATGCTTGATTTACCTCCCTCTCCAGAGATGCAAATGGGGGTGCACATTTGTATCCTTCTGCATCAGCTGCTGCACACTACATGGCATTCATTTTCTGGTGGGGGCAGATACTGTTAGTCATTGTCCTCCCCTAACTGTTCCATCAATGGAGGACAGCCTTATGTCACACACAGTGATCCACAGCAGTCTGGCAAATCACTGTATCCCCAAACACCCCAGCCATGGTACCTTTCCTATCCTTATCTACCTGGCCAATGCTACCCACTTTGGGGGCTTTGGTGGCAAAGGCCATCAGGAAAAGCAGGGTTTGTGGATGCCTTGTGCAACTTCAGTTCCCCTCAAAGCAGGGAGGTACAGCATCAGGCCAGATGTTTTCAAGCAGTTTGTACAAACAACTAGTTCTCACAATACTCCTTTGAGGCAGGCTTTATCATCCCCATTTTATGGATGGAGCATCTGTGATGAAGATTACTTACCTAAGGCCTTACAACAAATTAGATGTGAGGTGAAACTAGAATAGAAGTGTGTGGTTCCCAAACAGTGCAAGCAATTTTGTACTGAGGGTGGACAGCCCCTGCTGCTGCTGGCTGTGCTACTGCATCTATGCTTATATTTTCATCGTGCTAGCTTGATGAGAGCTAGCTTGAGTATGGCTGTTCAAGATGGGAATATCAATGCTAGCTCCAAGTACAGGTGTAGCCTAAATGAGTCTCTCTCTGAGAGTTAGCTTTTCCTCAATAAGGTCTTAGAATCATAGAATATAAGGGCTGGAAGAGACCTCAGGAGGTCATCTAGTCCAATTCCCTGCTCAAAGCAGGGCCAACACCAACGAAGTGATCCCAGCCAGGGCTTTGTCAAGCTGGGCCTTAAAAACCTTCAAGGATGTAGAGTCCACCAGCTCCCTAGGTAACTCATTCCAGTGCTTCACCACCCTCCTAGTGAAATAGTGTTTCCTAATATCCAGCCTAGACCTCCTCTACTGCAACTTGAGACCATTGCTTCTTGTGCTGTCATCTGCCACCACTGAGAACAGCCTAGCTCCATCCTCTATGGAACCCCCCTTCAGGTAGTTGAAGGCTGCTATCAAATCCCCCCCTCACGCTTCTCTTCTGCACATTAAATAACCCCAGTTCCCGCAGCCTCTCCTCGTAAGTCATGTGCCCCAGCCCCCTAATCATTTTCATTGCCCTCCACTGGACTCTCTCCAATTTGTCCACATCCCTTCTGTAGTGGGGGGACCAAAACTGGATTCAGTACTCTAGGTGTGGCCTCACCAGTGCTGAATAGAGGGGAATAATCACTTCCCTCGATCTGCTGGCAATGCTCCTACTCATACAGTCCAATATGCCATTGGCCTTCTTGGCAAAGAGGGCACGCTGCTGACTCATATCCAGCTTCTCGTCCGCTGTAATCATTGTGTCCTTTTCTGCAGAACTGCTGCTTAGCCAGTTGGTCCCCAGCCTGTAGCAGTGCATGGGATTCTTCCTTCCTAAATGTAGGACTCTGCACTTGTCCTTGCTGAACCTCATCAGATTTCTTTTGGCCCAATCCAGTTTGTCTAGATCACTAGGTCACTTCTCTCAAACATACCCACACTTACACCAATACACAAACTAATCAATCAATTTCTCTTACAGGCAAGCAAGGAAGGAGGATTTATTTTATTTTTAAATGCTTGTGACAGGGTCATGTTAAATGCATAGTGTAGTGAGGGGACTACTACCTCAATTCTTGGCAGTTACAAGGGCTGCCACTCTGAGACAGAGTGGACAATTTACATGAGGGAGATTATCTAGTAGGAAAAGCCACCACAAGATAATGCTCCAAAACAATGCCTTAGCATTTGGAAAAAAGCTAGAGTCAAAAATGTTGTAATTTTAGAAGTTTGATCAATTTTATATGAAATTGATCAATGATTTTGGTCATTCTGTAACTTCCAAACTTTAGTTTAAAAATAAAGTTGCTAGTGGTCTCAACTGCAGTCACCCTGGTACCTTGCACGGTCACTCAGTAATCTTTGGAGATTAGAAATCCATGTTCATTTCAATGGCAAGCTCAAAGATCTACCTCTAGCCTCCACTCTTCTCCATTGGATAACAATTTATATTTAAGCATATAATATGATTTAAAAGCACATCTGTCTTGCTTTCACAGAGAGCAATTCTGATCTCTTGACTAAATATACAATTACTGCAAAAATTATGTTCACTGAAGGTATGAAAGCCTTTCAGTTTTTCCCCCCGATGTTTGTTTTAGGCATAAATAATCAAAGCATAAATTGTAAAACTCCTAGAAAAGCACCTGAAACCTTGAGTTTAATTTAGTTCTTGTTCTCCCCCCCGTCTTTGGCTGACTTAGAAGTAAGTGTCTCTATATGCATGCACTTCCATGGAGTAAGATGATGGATAAGAGGCAGAAAATATGTGCTAGTATTCATGAAGAAGGGAGTTAAAACTAGAGACTCAGATTAGATCCATAATACCACTGTTTTTCTACAATGTTAGTCTCAATGACAGGCAAAAATTTATAAAAACTGCCGTATATGCACAACAAAAATGCTTGCAAAGCTGAACTTCTGGATGAACTAACCTTAGGACTTCTGTAGATGGGTCTTTAGTTTGCACCAGAGAGGTGTAAGATTTAGTCCACACTAGCATGTCATTCACCGACTGGCCTGTGTGGACTTGCTGTTGTGCACTAAGAATTCCCTAGGGCACATTAATGTAGGCCCATTTCAAACATTATGTCAATACGTATTAGGGAATTTTTAGTGCACACCATCAGGGTGCACATGGGCTAGTTAGTCACGACTAAAAATTTATATTCCATGGACTAATGCACCATGTAGACAAGTCTTTAGTATTTAAAGAGTTTCTTCTGGAGAGGAAAGCAAGGGTCTTGTAAGAATCTGTTACCTCTGAGAAGATTAAACAATTTTATGATTTCTAACGTAATTTATAGTGAAATTCATGTATTTTAAATTAGTCTTAATTTTATAATACTCATAATTAAACATTAATTCAAAATATCAATTACATTTAGAAGGTGCACTGTAAATATAACTTGTTTTAAAGATTTAGTTTTAATGAATTTTACATTCATTGTACTTATGCTACTCCAAATGTTAAAAAAAATATTGTTGAAAAAGCAATGGTTTACTATATTTGTGTCACAGACTGCATGAGGAATTGAAAGAAGCTGTTGAGAAGCAGCTGGAGGCCCTTCCTTCTGGCACTCTCTTGGGGAGTGATGTGTTTGCAGATGAAGAAATAGTAAGAAACCTTCAAGATCAGTTACAACTAGCCAATCAAGTGAGTGATTTTAAAACAGCTGCTACTTTATTTCTTTGGCTAATTCCTTTGCACATTGGGGAAATCATCATCAGTTGGTAAAAAATCACTCTTCAGAACTATCTTTTTTTTATTAGAAATATTAAAAGTACTCTTTACTGATTTTTTTTTATTATTATTTTTATTTTTTTTGGTAACCTACAAACACTGATACTTTTGATTACCAGTCTGAAAGAATTTGGAGTTTTGCACTCAGAGAGTTTGTGTTTTGTACTAATACTTAATTACTATATTGATTTCTCCCTCCCCCCCCAATTCCCGACTAGAGAAAGGAAATAGCGATGAGGCAGGATGGTAAAGCCTTTTTACATCCATTGAGAATACATATTGAAATTTTCACCAATCATTTTTGGTGAACACTGGTCAAAAAGATAGTAAATGTGAAATGAGAAACAAATTTGCATTGTTTGGAAGGTAGAAAATCAGAATCTAAAGCTAGAAAAGGCTAGATTCTCTAATCTAAGATCATTACTATAACAGGCTGATGACCTCTCTTATACACAAAGACCAAATTCTGCTGTTCCACAGGTGCAGCTACTATAATTTCACTGGGTGCTGATCCATGTAATTGAGAGCTTATTTTAGCTATTTGAATCAAATAGGCTGGTATGTTGAATCAGAGTCTCAGAACTCTCAGTAGAAGCCACGTGTCGCTTCTAATTTAAACTTCTGAAAAGAACTACTCTTTTTAAAAGAACAAAAAAAAAAGCAGAACCTATTAATCTGTTCAGATCTTTAGCATGACAGGGTCATGTTAAGTCACACTTTCTTGAAACATTTTCACTTCTCTAAAGTTGGTATTTTGTGAATAAAGTCACAAAATGGGACTTCTGGTTTCAGTAGTAGAATAGTGAATTGTCACTGAATTCATCCATTTAAACAAACAAATCCCCATCTTGAGTCTGCTTTTTGGAGACTGGGAAGGAAGAGAAAACTGCATCAGGAGTCCTTCGATGAGATCCATAAAAGTATCTAGAGAAATAAAATTCTGACTTCCCTATGAAAACTACATCCCTACCAATACCAGCCAGAGCATAGTATAGCTGTGGGGATGCTTTGAAAAGCAGTGCGTCTCCTACGTTTATTCCGTAAAAGAGATATCTAGTAGTCACTGTATCTTGATGATGGTGAAAGAAGAGAAACAGGAAGTCACATTTACAAGAATTATATTAAGTTTCTTTAACATAAAGGAAAAGGTCCCCTGTTTTTAAAGTGTTGTACATTAAGCTAAACACATTCTGGTAAGAGAATCTTCTATATAATCTCTTGTTTTTAAACCTTCTAGGAAAAAGAGCAAGCACTAGAGCTCTGGCAGACAGTATCACAGGAACTAGATCAACTCCAGCAGCAGTACCAGGGGCACATGACTGAAGCACAGATTCATGTGGTAGAAAGGCAAAAGCAAAAAGTAATTTTGATTGTATTGTTTCTTTTGGCAAGTCATTATAATCTGGAGAAATTCCAGAGCTGTAAGTAAGGCAGATTTAAAATGTTGTATATCACTACTTAGCTATCTGACACCAAATGTATTATAACAATCATCTAAATATTATTTAATGGTCAGAGGCAATTGTAGATTTCAGGTGCCACTCTTTGTTCTAGTCCAGATCGTATAGGTAAGCTATATTTCGTGTTCCATTGACAATCAGATGGGGCATGCATATTGCAGTAGGGGGTGTGTGTGTGTGTGTATATATAAAGAACTACCATGAGCTAGAGCAAGAATCAGTCATGTGGTTCTTCAACACCCTTCAAAAATAAGTTCATATTTTTTAAAAGGTTCAGTTCATACCTCTGGCTGCACTGTTTAATTAGTGGTCTGTGGGCTAAATCGCAGCAGGGTGCTATATGTAGCTACCTGCTAGAAAATCCAAACTCAGCAAAGTGAATATGGAGTAGAAGGCATTGTTCATTTTTTTTTTTTTCCCCCACATAACCTGTGAAAAAGCTGCTCTGCAGGTCCGTTGTGACAAGAGTTGTCTAGAGGGTGTTCTGGAGTCAGGGGAGTAGTCCAAACCTTTATGCATGTTTGCATCCTGCTAGGCTTGGTACCCATTTAGGAGGGAGGCATTATGTGACTGCTTAGAAATTGACCTTAAGGTTTTAGACCCCTTTTTTCAGTAGTAAATCTGTGATGTACCCAAAGATTTACCAGGTCAAATCCCACTAATAATCTAATTAAAATCCAAAAAATTAAAGTAACGTTGACTGCATAAAACATAACATATCTAATTTGTTGAAATTGCTTTCAGTTGAACTTAAAATGCCTTTAGGATAATTACAAGCCCTTTATAATGATGATTACAAGCTCTGCATCTTCTATTTTAGGATCAGTTGGCTGGCTTTCAACAACTGACTGAGCAACTTCGATTAGCCAATGAGAAAACAGAGTTGGTAAGTGATTCCATCTGGACAATGCATTCATATTTTCAAACTATTAGTTAGTTAGTTTATATTCTGGGGGGGTATCAGGGTATTGTACTTACCACAGGTGGCACCTACTCCTGTCTGTTCTGGAGATTAGCTCTCTTGTGGGTCCGATGTCTCCTCTTGTGGTCTGCCTTCTCTCCATTGTCCTTTCTCTAACTCTGCGGCCCCTCTCTCCCTCTGACAACTGCAGTTTTCTCTTCATGACTCAGCTCTGCAGCCAGGTCACTGTGTGGTTTCCCCTTCTGGGGTATAGAGGCTCACTGGGCCTGCTGTCCAGGCAATGCCAATGCATCAGTGGCTGGTAGGGGAATCCAGGCTTGCCCACTACTCCAGGTTCCAGCCCAGAGACCCTACAACATGCTGCAAAGGTCTGTTTAGTCTCCAACCTGGCTGCTCCCTACCCAGCTCTCACAGGCTTTCTTCTCTACCCTTCTCTCGTCTGAGTATGCCCTTCCATAAGGGGTCTACTCTTTCCCTTGGGTCTCTCCTTTCCTCTCTAATGCACAGAGAATAGCTATAGACTTCTTTACTGCAGCCATTTTTGATACCAGCTTCTGGGCTTTATACTAGCCCAGCCCACACCTCCTCACCTGAGCTTCATCTTCTAATGAGGGGTTGCTTCACCAGCCTAATGCCCTCATGTGCGGCCTATCACTCTAATTGGCCCTTTCTCAGCTTCATTAACCCTTTCAGGATTAGTGTGGCATGTACGTCCCATCACAGGGGATCGCCAATAAAGGAAAACATAGAGACACCAGACATTACATGTCTAGTAACATGACACATAACATGCTGTCCTTGGATAATGTCATATAATTTACAAGCAATTGGACCTTATCATAAATTGTCTTAATTGGTGTTTTTTACTCTTGAAGAATACCTTACTGTATAAACTAGGTTGTGTTAGTCCCTTCCCCAGTAACTAATCTAGTGAGTAGCCCATCCCAGAAAGCCTTACACATGAAATTGTCTTCTTCCTTCCTTCCTTCCCTCCTGTATCTACCTTATGAAAAGAGCATAGGACTTGTCCTATGTATAATGTGGAGCCTGTGTTATCCATGTTCTCCTTCTCTTTTCTAAACTTCAGAGTTTGTTTAATACAGATGGAAATATTCAAAAAACAGATTTAATCCTATTTCTAAAGTTAGCTAAACTTTAGTTTGATTACTTCAAAATTGTTGGCCTTTGTGACTTGACCAAGACCACAAATGGAGTCTGTCAGAGCTGGGAGTTGTCCTTTATTCTCAGTCCTGTCGGCAGTACTGACTTCGTACTGCTGACCACTCTTGGCTGCTCAGCAGAGGAGTTTTTTCAGCCATAGACAGCAAGCTGGTAGGAAGCTTGTGCTGGTCTTGTGCAATCAGCTGTAGCCTGTTCAGCACTGCCTTGTGAGAGGGTAAACTGATCTTGGAGTCCACCAAAAAATCCAGTGATCTGTGGCTCTTTTGGATGCCAAGAACCATCCTTTGGTGGTTGTGGGGTAAACAATAATTTGTGATCTTTAGGAGAAATTGATGACAAGCTTTCACCCTAGTGTATAGTTTGCATTATGTTAAATTTGAGTCTTGAAAATGTGAACATCTTCTCAAGGAAAAGGCAAGAAAGTTTTCATTTGAAACAAAATAACTAAGATTGTCCAGCACATTTTAGGTCTCCCATACCTCTCAGTGGTTTGAGCATTGGCCTGCTAAACCCAGGGTTGTGAGTTCAGTCATTGAGGGGGCCACTTAGGGATCTGGGGCAAAATCAGTACTTGGTCCTGCTAATGAAGGCAGGGGGCTGGACTAAATGACCTTTCAGGGTCCCTTCCAGTTCTGTGAGATAGGTATGTCTCCATACTAAATCTATACATAATATAATTGTGAAATGTAAGGAACCATATGACCCTGGCTTTCATTTAAGACCTTACATGATATTCTTTGGTGAACCAAGAATGTACATACCAGGATTAGAATATTCTCATAATCCCATTGGTATTGAGAGGTTCATGGGTCACAGTTAAGGCTATGTTTTAGTCATAAGTATTTTTAGTAAAAGTCATGGACAGATCACGGGCAGTAAATAAAAATTCACGGCCCATGACGTGTCCATGACTTGTACTATATACCACTGACTAAATCTTGGGTGCTGAGGGGGAGAGGGCAGCCTGGGGGCGCTATGGGTGCTCTGGGGGGGCTCACAGCTCAGGGGCGCCACGGGTGCTCTGGAGGGGTGGGGGTTGTGGTGTGTGGCCCGGGACCCCCACCAGTGCTGGAGTGGGCAGTAACACGTGGCCCAGGACCCCCCCGCTGCTGTGGTGGCCTGAAACTACCTCTGCAGCCGTCAGTGCGGCTGGCCCATGGGCTGCTGAAACTCCTCAGGCAGCCCCGGAGCCAGCCACACCAGCTGCTGCAGAAGTCATGGAGGTCCCAGAAAGTCACGGAATCTGTGACTTCCTTGACAGACTCGCAGCCTTAGTCATCGTCCCATTATAGACTGAGGGTGTTAGGTATACTAGTGTTTTACCTCCATCCACAGACCATAATTAAAAATGGGATTTGGCTTTTTCCACAAAATATGTTTGATGCTTCTTTTTAAACTACACTAGTTAAATATTATAAAATGTCTGTAAACAGAAATAATCTGAAGCTTAAGTAATGTTCATATAATGTTTTGTGCTGTTCCAAATTTTTTTATATAACTTCAAAATAGTTATCTAGTGAAAAATATCTTTGGTTTCTATAGCAAATAGATGGCTTTCTAATTTAATCAAGCCATAATTTAAGAGAAGAGCTTAAACTGAGAGTTTGAAATTCTTTAAAGATAGTATTTTCTGTACCTCTAGTCACAGTAGTTAGTCTACCTTAACAGGATGCCTGATGAAAGAGTAAGTGCATTAATGAATAAGCCCACATAAAATAAGCAATAAATTGATTAAAGGGAATAAATGAATAAATCTGCATGCCTGCTTTCATTAGTGAACATACTAAGTATCAGATAAAGGAGACACCATATAACAAGACTTTTCATTAAAATAGCCTTCAACAGAACAAGGAATATGTTACAATTCTTTCTTCCTTTTACAGACTAACCAACAATTTTTGAAAACAGTAACAGAACAGAATATGGAACTAGAACAGCTACGCAAACAACTGAGGTACAAATCAGAGACCCTTTTAAATATACCGTTCTATCTTATATTCCTTCTTGAGTCATTACTTTATCATTGGCCTTGTCTTCATTACAAAGCTGTTACTGATAATTGTCTTTAGCAATAGTTACAGTTCATCTTTGAATGTAGGTAAGAATAGATTCTGATGGAGCATGTTTTCTGCTGATTGTTGAATCCTGCACAGTGTATACAGAATACCATACTGTGTGTGTATGTATAATTTTATAACATAGAAGATACTACTTCATATATTCACATAATTTACATATTACTTATATCTAGAGTTAAGCAAATCGCTGCTGTTGTCACCCCCTGCATCCATTAATACTGTGTGTGTTAAGCTTTAACATAGAGATAATCTTGGGGCTAACTTCGTACATTTAGAGTCGCATCCTCTGAGGTGCTCAATGCTCCCATTCTCTTAAGATGCTGAGCACTCTTTACTCCCATTTAGCAGATTTGAGCCCTCAGGGCCAGCCAGATATTTTTATTAGCATAGCATATTTGCACAAAATCTAGTTGTATTGGCAATAAATCACATTGCAACTTTTGGGCATCGTGAAGTGGGAGTATTCAAAGTACTCTGAACAACTTTAAAGTTTTATTGTACAACTAGGATAATTCTTGTTTGCTTCATATATGTCATATACCATGGAGAGGTAAAGAGAATTATGTTTCTTAGGTAATATGGAATATAGAAAGGGGTGAATCTTAAATTGTTCAGTTTCTTTTAGGGTCTATCTCTTGTATGAATTCTGTGCTTTGTTCTCCCCACCTCTTCCTCCTATTTTTTTAAGGGTGTTTTTAGGGATTTCAGGGAAATGATTAAATTTCCATGGACCACCCCACAGATTTATTTAGGCTTGTTCTATCACTGGCACTGAACAGCCTGTTTGGGGTACCATCTGAAGACATATTTATGAGTTTATCTTTTCTGGTAAGTCATAGTACTAACATTTTCTTAAGTTACTGTTTTTTTCCTCCTAACTTAAAGCTTACATTGCACAATTCTGTTAACTCTCTAGCCCTCTCAGATTATATTAATCATAGAATATCAGGGTTGGAAGGGACCTCAGGAGGTCATCTAGTCCAACCTCCTGCTCAAAGCAGGACCAATCCCCAGACAGATTTTTGCCCCAGATCCCTAAATGGCCCCCTCAAGGATTGAACTCTCAACCCTGGGTTTAGCAGGCCAATGCGCAAACCTCTGAGCTATCCCTTACCCCCCATACATTGATTGGTATGGTGTTGTACATACCATAAAATGAAGGCAGTCCCTGTTAACATATATATTTTGTATTGTGTTCATCAACAAAACTGTCTCTTTAAAGAGTTGTTCAGAAACTAACATTATTTCAAAGTTTGTACTACAACAGTCTAAAAGCATGAAAATAATCTAAAAGAAACATTTATAAAAATGAAAGGTAAACCATAAGGAAGAGATGAGCTAAACTGTCTGAAGTTGAACTGAGGTTAGGAAACTTGTAATCAAATTAATTTTGGGATATCCTGGAAAATGGATTAGCCTTGTAGACCCTGGTTTTTTTGTTTTTGTTTTTTTGTTGTTGTTTTTTTGGTAGCAAAACAACTATTTTCAGGATTTTTATATGGTACGGACCTCAGAGGTTCAAAGAAGCTTTTTGTTGTTGTTGCTGGGGTAGCAAATGCAAAAATAATACAGCAGCCAATTTACTCCACATCAACAGACTGCATTACATACCGTGACCTAAACTATTTGTCATCTATTTGTGGAGGTCAAAATCTTCTTTCCTATTACACTGTCATTACTTCCAGCAAAAATTGTTGTTAGTTGAAAATTCAATCATAATATTATTATTTATATTACTGTAGCAGCTAGGGGACCTAGTCATGCACAAGGACCTCATCGTGCTGTGTGCTATACACAAACAAAACAAAAAGATGGTCCCTTCCCCAAGGAGCTTACAATCTAAGTATAAGACAAGAGAAAATAGATGTCTACAGATGAACAGTAGAGTACAAGGAAACGTTGAGACAGTATTAGTCAGTATGACAAGCAGTGGTCTCAGCACATCAGCAGCCTAATATGGCTAATTTTTTTTGTAGGCATCACAGTAAAGGAGAGTTTTAAGGACAATAATGAGGTAGCTTGTGGATGTTTATGGGGAGCCCTCCCAAGCATGAGAAACATGGGAGGAAGTCTGAAGGTGTGTTGAAAAATATCCTGATTCGCCTCAAGGAAGTCTCTTGTAAATTACAGTGAAATTGACAAGAACCCTCCAGTCCCACTGCTCTTCCTCCCTGCCAACCCTGCCCCCCTATCCAGAAGCCAAAAAGGTGCTGTCTGTACCCCCGAGCTGCAGGTGATGGTGGACAAAAGTTTTATTGAATCTATCCTAAATTCAGTGGAATCTCTGTTCTACCAAATTAGAATTTTCTTCTTTGAGTGATGGTCCCTGTTGTATTCCACTGAAGGTTATGTGCCATATGCCCAGAGCCAGAGCTTTTAGAAGTAGTAGTGCCTGTTGGTTCTCATATGCATCTTTGATCTGCCTCCTGATTTCGACCAAGGGGATAAAGAGTGGGGTAGACCGACTGCACCCTCAGTTCCTTCTCACTGTTGTATGGTCCGAATCAGAGCTTCTGCTGTTCTCTTGTCCGTTGTGACACACTTTCAGGCTCTCCAAAAAGACTGTTTTATTCTTGTTTATAGTTAGCATTTCATTGTTTTTGTAATAGTTTTTACTATTCGTAGTAGTTTTCTTAGGATTTAAGGACTTTCTGGTGGTACTTTGGTGGTTTTCTGCCTACCCCCCTGCCTCCTGGCACCCCGGTACTGGATTATACCAAAAACACCGGGGTTCAAGATCTGTGCTTCCTACCCTCGCTTGTTTTCAATCAGCGATGAGCACCAGTGCTGCTTGGGGGAAACCCACGTCTTATCCAGGTACAGTATCTTCCTCTCCTTCCCTGTCCATGCCTGGAAAGGCCAGGCTGTCTGCCTCAAGAAGCACCTCATAGAGGTTCCCATGAGGCCATAGTCGGATCCAGGCTGGGGAACACCCCCATAAATTGGCCTTAGCAATCAAGGAGTGCGTCTCCTACCACAGAGCTCCAGTCCGGTTCCTCCGTACCAGCACTACTGATCCAGTGCCGGGGTCTAGCTGTGAGGTTCAGAAGCATGTGCACGAGCACGGCAGTAAGTCTTCCTCAAGATCCAAGAAAGACACTGCACCTTCCTTGAGTTTCAGCCACAGAGAAGTGGCGTGTTCCAAGGCCCACAAGCACGACAAGAAGTCACGTAAAATATTGGACCTGTCAGTCCCAGTCGCTGAGCCTCATGCCCCCTCTTCCTCACTACTGCTGAAACCATGTGAATCATCTGTTCTGAGACAGCCTTCTGCCTCCATTCCAGCCTCCATTCCAGCTCCGGTTCTGTCTGTGGAACATGTGCTATGGACACCAGGGAGATTCAGATCAGCTCCTGGACCTTATTAACTGCCCTAGATGAGATGAGACCCCTGCATCCTCTGCTGCATTCGCCTCCAAAGAGACTCCACTCCCTTCAGGTCGTGTTCCTGAGCAGTCCTCTGTGACTCCCTCAGTGGCAGTGGCTCCGCCATTTGAACAGGGATCTGACTTCTCATCGTCGGAAGGTTCAGTTGGTGCACATGGTCAGCTGGTCCCTTAGCAATGGCAAGAGTATCCGAAGGCTCCATCAGCCCAGTGGCAATGTCCTCCCTTCCCTCAGCACAGGAGCCATTGGTACCCAGCTCCATGGGGACCACCACAGCAACCGCCAGATCCATCTGGTTGGCCATATTGGGGATCTTGGCCCCAGTATCCACCTTTGGAACCTTCACTATCTGCCTGAGAGGAGTTCCCCCTCCCTCCCCCCCACCCCCCCCATCTCACCACTCCAGCCTTCGACAGGTAGGCCTTTGGAACTGGGGTTGAAGGATGCACCAATCAGCCCAACTCCGACGGTCCCACCAGATATGGAGCAGTTCCCCTCCTTGTCTCCAGAGGCAGCAGTGTCCTAGAATCCTTTCTGCCTCTCCTCCCGCCCCCCGAACTACTGCCAGTTCCAGGAACTGTTAAGGAGGGTGGTTGCCACTGAAGGAGATGCAGGACAGCCAGCATCAGCTACTGGACATTCTGCATTCATCGGTACCAGCCAGTCAATGATGCCATTCTTCCTCTGGCCTGCACCATCTGGCATACCCTGACAACTTGTGTGCCCACTCCAAAGAGGGCAGAAAAGTGGTACTATGTACGGGCGAAGGGTCTGAGTTTGTTTTCTCAATGCCCCCACCCAATTTCCTGATTATTTAGGCCATTACTAAGCAGGCCAGACAGCAGCACACATTCCACTCCAACTGACAAGAAGGGTAAGAAACTGGATCTTTTGGGTCGTAAGATCTTTTCATCAGCCAGCCTTCAGTTTTTCATCTCTAATTACCTGGCATTACTGGTATGTATGACTTTTTGAATTATGGCCAATCAGTGGAATTTGCGGACAAGCATCCCCAGCAGGACCATGACAATTTCCAGGCTATTTTAGAGGAAGGCAGACGGGTTGCCAGGATAACACTGGGCTGTGGTAGATTCCATGGACATATCTACATGCACTATGACTGCAAAGATTGTCATGAGGAGGGAATTCTGGTTCTCGAGGGAGATACAGAACACACTTGAGGACCTCCCTTTGATGAACCCCACCTCTTCAACCAGAAGACTGATGATTCTCTGCACTCACTCAGACTATAGAGCGACCCTACGGTCACTGGACATTTATACACCAACACCCAAGTGCAAATTCTGTTGGCCAGCTCCTGCTCAATGGTACCAAGCTCCTCAGTTTTTCTGCCAGCAGTCCTACGAGCCTCCCCACAAGTGTCAAAGGACAAAGTTTCCCTCTGTTTGCATCTCAAGTTTCTGCCAAAAAGCGGTTTCCCATTTTCACCTCAACCAACCCATGTGCTTACCTGCCTTCTTTCCAAAGCTGCATACCTCAGAGAAGGAACACACCTTCACTCCCTTGATGTCCAAAGGGTCCTGGTCTTTTATCTGCAGAGGATGAAGTTGTTCAGACTTAGACTATTCGTTGCTATAGCAGATAGCCTGACCCTTAATTCTAAGTGTGTTTTGGGGTGCATTATGCTCTGTTATCAGGACTGTCTCCTCTCCTTGGGTAGGAGCCCATTCCACAAGAGCACAAGCATCAACTATGGCCGCGCTTCACAATATGCCGCTCATGGACATATGTAGGGTGGCCACGTGGAGTTCAGTAAACCCCTTCTCTTCCCATTATGCTCTGGCACAAGATTCTGTGACGGATGCCTCATTCAGTGAGGCTATCCTATGTTCCATCATCTTCCTCACACCCTCTTCCTGACTAGGTACTGCTTGTCAATCACCCTCAGTGGAATACAATAGAGACCATCGTTCAACAAAGAAGAGGAGGTTACTTACCTGTAACTGGCGGCTCTTTGAAATGTCTGGTCCCTATCTGTATTCCAATCGTGCTCTCCTTCCCATCTGTTGAAGATCTGATTGATTTGTGGCGGAGAAGGAACTGAGGGCGTGGTTGGTCCACCTCGCCCTTTATCATCTTGGTTGAAACCATGAGGCGGAACAAGGGTGTATGGGTGGACTACTGGACACTGCTATTTTTAAAAGCTCCAGTTCCGGGCACATGGAGAATGCACATAACCCTCAGTGGAATACAGATAGGGACCACACATCTCAAAGACTCTCCAGTTACAAATAAGTAACCTCCTCTTCTGAAGGCCAGTTCTACTTATAGGTCTATGAACAATCACAGTTCGCACATGCTCAGTGATACTTATTAGCTTTTTAGCTGCTAAAATCTCCAAAAATTCCATCAGCACAGGACATGTTTGAGTCGTTCACAGTTCCTTGTGCTGACCAGACTACACATATGCCATGTCCCAGCTTAAAACCACAGGGAAGAAACCAGACTTTCCCTGTAATAGTTGCTTTCAGCTGCTCTGGGTTGGGGCTAGGCATTGGAGCCGAGAACAGGGAGCCTATCTCCCACCTGGCACCCAGGTAATGTGGAGTAGGAAGCCATCTGATTCAAATGCAGAGGGGACAAAATCCAGACCTGGGGAGAGGGAAAGGAGTAGGTTAGGATAAGGAGCCTAGAGAGACTGAGAGCCAAGGCGGTGAGGAGGCTGAGACTGGTTGGTCAAGGAAACTGGCATTGGGAGACAGAGGGTAGGAAGAGAAAACAGACAAGCAGCAGAGTTGTGGGGATGGAGTGGGATCTGGGACTGGCTGGACAAAGAGGCTGGGGCAAGGAGCCAGGGAGGGGGACACAAGCAACTTTAATTCTGGCATTTCCTTACTTTAGAATGCTTGACTTTGCAACCTTAGTGTTCTTTCAACTGTAGTTTATTTATGTGTAAGGTTCTGTGACCAGTGTAAACTTAGCCCAGCACATTGGGTGGGGGGAAAGGAAGAAGGAATCTGTGTTTTCCCCTGTCCCAGGTCAGTGTAATAGCAGAGTTGCTTCATTCATTTCCACAGGGGAAAATGGCATAAGTGCCATCCTCTGGCCCTGCTCCAGTTTATCTTCCCCTTCCTACCGCATCCTAGCCAAACCTATCTACCCTCTGAAGCACGTAGGCCGAAATTTTTGAAAATGGCTAATGACTTGGGATGCCTAATTTGAAACACTGAAAATCAGGCCCCCTTTAAGGTAACTCCTGAACATCTACCTTCTGAAAAACAAACCCCTTTAAAGTGTCTCAAGTTGAGTACTCAAAAATTTGAGGAGCCCAAAATCATTAACTCACTTTGGAAAATTTTGGCCATGGAGTCCCCCACAAACCTGTATTCAGCAGTACAATGGCGTATGTATTTCCTCTTTGGTGTCCTCAGAATCTCTTCCACATAACAGACAATGGCGGCTGCTGCTGCTGTCTATATGTGAAGGTTTGCTGGTATGGTTGACTTCATGCTGTTCTTAAAAAGCCCTGTTAAGTTCTGGGTGGTGGGTTTTTTTGTTTGTTTGTTTGTTTTCTTCTTCCTCTAATTCAGCTAACTGTAATTAATTGAGTGGTTTCTTTATATTCAGGCAAGCCAAAGTAGATGTGAGAACAGCAACTGCTAAAGTTGATGAAATGACCAAGTTGTTAGTGGACCTTCAAGCCCAGATGGAGAGAAAGGTATTCTAGCATAACTGAAAGTTTTAGTGATTGTCCTGTTACAAACATGAAACTTAAATTTACTTAAAATTGTTTGTTTCCATATCGTGCATTTCATTTTTTGTGCTCAAGCAGAGTTCAGAAAAAATGTCAGAGTAATTGCTGTGATTTCTAGGAAGAAGATGTAGTATCTGCTCAGGAGAGAGAGGAAGCATCAGACAAACGCTTGCAGCAATTGCAGTCTAGCATAAAACAATTGGAGACGAGGTAAAGAGATGAATGATGTCATTGAATGTGATTGATGATATTTTTAGAAGAGACATGAAAGCAGAGGTTTTCTAAATGTCTGAGTTCTATAATTTTGAGTAATCTAGTTCTCCATTTCTTATGCAGATGATATTTATCCTAGATTACTCATATTTTATCTGCTTCATTTCCCTACCCTCTGAGTAGCCTCTGGCTTCCTTCTTCTCACCTGAGTAAAGACTAGAAGACCACAGATCACTTGATCTTACTTATCAGTCTGTGCATAGGTCCCAAGTTTCAGAAATTTTATTTACATCAGCTGGAGTGGTACTGCTAAAGCTCCAAACATCAGTTTGAAAGTATTTCCTTGAATTGGCCCCTTTTGGGATGCATACAGCCTTCCTCTATATTAAAACAAGTAAAAGCTGGTTTCAAGTATCAGTTTGGAACTCTTGAGACTAGTAAGGACACTGTAACAACACACTAAGGCAAACTTCTTTTCGGTGGTAAATGTCAGTGATAAAGATTTATTGAATATCTAATAAAGAGGATATTTTATGATATTTATAATGCTTTCAATTATAGCATTACCTACTAATGTACTTGAGGATGACTAAGGGTTTTTATTACAATATCTCTTCTTTCCCCTGTCCCTCCCCCTTTTATTGCCAAAGAGCTAATTTGGCTGAACAAATTAATTCTGGGCCAAAATTTTGCACTAAATTGTTTTAACCATCAAACGTTTGTCAGATGACTTGATAACTGAAGTTTCTTATTGAAGTATTTATAGCTCTTCTAAGGTGATCGTTTCTAACAGATTCACATTTTTGTTCCTGCTTCATGGGTGTGACTAGCAGAATCACTGTAGCTAAAGAATCTAGCAACCAGCCAGTACAAGAGCACTGGCCTACTTGTAACAATAGGGGCTCTTATTGCCTTGAAGTGTTGCAGAAGCTGAAGTGCTTTACAGTGGCTTTTGAGAACTTTTGCCTAAACTAAGCATGATAGTCTTCCTTTTATCTGTTTGAAACTGGACCTGAAGTGATCACCCAGCCATAGTTAATATAATGGGTTTTTTTGTGTCCATATATATTTTGTCTTGTAGATATTCAAAAATAAATAACTTGGCTGCTTCAAAAACTACTCTAGGTGTAATCATAAAATGTTGATTACAGTCCATCATTACCATCAATTTTAATGCCTGATCTGAGCCCAGCTACATTCCTGAGTATGCATTAAAGGCTGGCTGTGTCCTGCCTTCCCTCATGTCAACCAATAATGTAAATCATGTTACAGCAATAAGGCTATTTAGAACTAGTATAAAACTACAAGCCCTTTCTCAGTGCTCATGCAATTCCGTCTGGGTGTGTGTGCGCGTGCATACACACAAAGAATTGTATCAGCACTGGGAAAACCTGGTCGTTTTACAGTAGCTCTAGCTAGTATTATTGCTTGAATGTGATTGACATTATTGCTTGGCATGAGGGAGTGCAGGAAACAAATGGTTATATTTTATGTAAAAATGTATTGCAACGTACAAATTTTATATGAGAGAGAGTATATGTATGTATATATAGTGTATGTATGTATATATACACACACACACACACACATTGTTACATAAAATTTTTATTGCCATGTCCCAATTACTCCTCCCTGCCTCCTCATAAAGGGAAACTATTGAAAAAGGCCAAGAGGAATAAGCAGAGCATTTATATAACACTGTTTGTTTAAGGTGTGCCTGTTCCTTTTGTTTAATATGTGATGTTAGAACCATTTGGTAGTGGTATAACAAACTGACTTGCCTTGGCAAAGATTATGATTTAAGATGGATAAGTATCAAAAGAATTAAAAAAAAAAAAAAGATATTAAAATGGCAAGTTGTAGCACAAGCCTGCAACCCAGTATAGGTATCTCTGAATAGCAGTACCCTTCTCATTTTAATTATGTGCCAAATGTTCAAAGTTAACTCCTTTCATTGTATTTCTGTCTGGGACATAGTGATGGAGGATTAAGAGGACATATTTAAAAAATGAGAATGCCAGAGAATTTAAACATAATATTTTACAAGTAAATTTGTACTTTCTATATATGAGAACAACTAGTTTGCAGGAGTGAAAGTGTTTTAGCAAGATGCCTGTTCTGCCAATGAGGATCTGAGTGTTCTAACTTTCTAGATTATGTGTAGCTGTACAAGACGCTGAACAGTTGAGAACAGAGAGGACTGCTCTCGAAAAACAAACTAGAGAGCTACAGACAAAGTGTGCAGATCTAGAAGAGGAAAAATACGATGCTATAGTAAAAGTCCGAGACAGCATGCAACTCTTAGAAGAAGCTAACCTACAAAAAAACCAGGTAAGACAAGGCATCAAGACACATTCTTTACCACATCATTGAATACTTGAAGTTACTAAGGGCCTGTTCACACGACAAAAATCCATCAAGGGGACTCAGTTACAACACAATTGCCTCCTGACCCTATTGCAATACATTTTATTTTTACTGTGTAAAGGACCTAACTGTGATGTAACTATTCTAAAGCCTGGTTTTGTGTAGTAGACCTGTCCAAAGTTTTAGCCTGTTTAAATAACCTAGCCAGGATTTTCCAAAAGTGACTTAGTGATTTCTGAGGCATCCATTTTTGGGTGCTCAACTTGAAAACACATTTAGGGGGAATGCTTTTGAGTGGGTGGTGATTAGCATTTTCTAAAAATCAAGCCTTTAGGCAATTAAAAGTAGTTTGACTTACATTTGCTGACAAGTTGTTACTTTCATGCACATTTAGTGGATTGTAACCAGCAGCAAATGAAGCCCAGCTAGTTCAAATTTGTTGGAATAAATTATTTAAACCTTAAAGAGTTTGTATTTGTTCTAATCAGTATCAAGCAGCTAGAAGAGTTAAGTGTGACTAGCCCTCTTTGTAACCTAAATATCCTTTTCAAATTGAGGCATTTCATGGGCAGCAGAATAAGTGGTTGTTTTGTTTTGTTTTTACTTTGGAGATACAATAGTTAGTGCTTTATTTTTAGTGTTTTCTCTCTTTCTTGGTAGCAGCTCTGTGATAAAGGGGCTAGATTCTGCCTGCCTGAAAGTTGGGACTGAATGTCCAATGGAAGGAGGCTGCCCCTTTTCCAGAATGGGGTTCCAAACAATGACAAAACGCAAAAGTGCTAGGGTTATTGCTATAGCCAGCTGTCTGTTTAATTAGAGGAAAACGACCAGCTGGGAGACCCCTGGCTGAAAGAGAGAAATAGAATCGAGTCAGGGATGGATTATGTGCAAGGACAATTTTATTCCTTTCTCCCCCACAGCTTCCCATCCACTGCTGCCCATCAAACAGGTTCTAGTCCCTGGTCTCTTGGAGCTTCCACACTGCCCATTCACTCTGCCCGCTCGAACACACACTGGGGGGCCATCAGCTGAAATATCTACGGCCAGCATATCCCCTCCTTTGCCCACCAATTCCCTGGCCAGAGCAGCTACAGAACCTACTCTACCCACTGATCCTACCTGCTGCAGCTCCCCTTCTTAGCCAGGTTCTGTTTTCTGGTAGAGGGAGAGCAGGGAGTTGATTTCTCTCCAGCGATTACAGATAGTCTTTGGAGCTGTCAACTGCCACTTCCTGGCAAGCACAATGTGACTCCTACATCTAGGCTTTAGAGCCTTAAATTAGGAAAACCAAGGGGGAAAGAGTAAAAGTTTAAAAATAATGTATTTTTTTTTAAATTTAAGAAAGGGAAACTACTATTCTTCTATTGCTCAATTTGAAATGTGTCATTGAAGATGACACTTAAATAGCATATATAAAAAGGCAGGTGTTTAAGAAGGTTAAGATTAGTATATTAGTACTACAACTACTGCACTTTTCATCCAAGTTTTTTCAGCAGAGCATTTGATGCTCAGTTCTTCATTGAGTATGTGGTAGTGTGGATCCCACTGTAGGTGGACATACACCTGGTGTGTGTGTGTGTGTGTGAGCTCAGATCTTTTTTTTATTTGCAGTGTCCATCAGGGCCAGTGATATCATGTAAAGTGTTATGTCAGAAAGAAATGGTTCAGTAAAAATTACTTTACTTGCAGTACATGTCTGAAACACTAATTGAACAGATACAGAAGTAAATATCTTGCTTGCTTACGGGTAACAGGTTAGCATAATCCTGTTATAAGAACAAAATTAAATTATAGTAGAATCCAGCTAATTGGCAATAATCACTGGAAGATGCTTTGTAAATTACTGAATTTTGCAAATTAGGAAGTGAGCAAGTGCAAAAAATAAAGGATGAAGCATCAAAAATGTACTTGTAATATCTTTGTTTGAACTCTATGGTAAGGGAGCTTTTATGCTTGTTAGGAGATTGTTCTCTTTGAGCTGTGGGAACACATCCATCATGATGATACAAGGCACCCATTCCACTATCATGTTAACATGCTCAAAAATGTGGAATTGAGATAGTGTATTTAGTTGGAAAAGCTGGGGCCTATGGAAAGGAAATCCATTAAAAAAGGGTGAAGAATTTTAACAAGTATACAAAGGGGAAATGAAAGTACAAGGTTTGTTTCCATTTATTTCAACAAAAGAAAAGTCAGGAAACTGAGCAAAGAGTGCTGGAGATAAAGATTTGAAAATCTTTATCTATTCTGTGTTTTACAGATATATTTTTAGGTATGGGAATTGTCACCAGGACCTTAATTGCTGCCAGAAAACTTGTTTCTTGTATTCTGAGCATGGGTTATTCCTCACTGTTCCTAGTCCCAGTTAAAAGCTTCTGAGAATATTCTTACCTCTTCGTATGAGTTCCTCCATTTTTCTTCCTCATAACCTGTCGTGGTCAACCTTCAAGAGTTGTTTGTGCTAAGATTTTATCTAAAAGGGCATCCTGACATACCAACTGGTTGCATTTTACTGGCTTGCAGAAAGCATACATGACAATCACCCATTCTCATGTCCAAGTTTATTGCCTTCCTGACATGCTTGAGTTCAGATAGGCAATAGAATGAAAAACTCAACACAATTCCTAACTTTTTTGTATCAGAGAGTGATATTCTGATGCCATTTTGCAAGCCATTATTTCTTTTTCTGTTTACTAAAGATTGTCATCACTGACAGTTTTTTAATGAAAGATCACACCGTTTTTATTAAAGATAATTCTGGTTATAGTATTTCAAATTGTTTTCTCTAGGCCCTGCTCGGAGAAAAGCAAAAAGAAGGGGAGATAGAAAATATGAAAGAAGCAATTTCTCAGCTTGTACAAGATGCTGCTGCAAGAACTAGAAAGGAAGTATGTTATCCTCTTACAGCCCAGTCTTCTGCATAATTTCCAATGCTAATTGAATTAGTGTCGTTTGAATAAACATTCTTTTTATTTACTTCTTAAAACACTGTGTAGCTAGTTCATGATAATTTCAGCAGTATATCAGTCTGTTCTTCATTGAATATGTAGTAGTGTGGATCACAGTGTAGGTGGACATGCACCTGGTATGTGAGAGATCAGATTTTTTTCATTTGCAGTGTCCATCAGGGCCACACATGTGTCCTGTGCCGTCTCATGCTCCCATGTGAAGGTATAAAGGGTGGTGCAGATGTAGCTTTTCCTCAGTTTCCTCTTACTGCCTGTGGCAGCGAGACAGAACCTGGTGAGTGTCCAATCCACTAATTCTTAGCTCAGACTAACTTCTACAAGTGTTCAAGAAAATCTTCAGAACTATTTATCTTCTCTGTTGACTATAATGAACTCTCTCCATCCATCTGAACAGAACTCTACCACTAGATCACCCCTCCTCGCCCCCATACATAGACCTCTCTATACAGGGCTTATTAACATGGTGAACTCAAAATCTGCATGCTTTAAGCCCTGTCCATCCTGACTAATCCCCTTGAAAGATGGGCACATCAGCTGTGTCTTCTGTCAGAGGGAATCTTGAGCAGATAAGTGTTCTCACAGAGAATAAGCAGACTCAAGTCATGGGATGTGAGGCTAAAGCTCCATCTTCTGGAACAGTCCATGAAGGTCTCATTACACCCTGAGGATACAAGCTCCAGAGTGCTGCTGGCAGACAAGCCAGCTTCAGGCAGCGCACCACCTAATAGACAAGCAACACTGAAGAAAGCAGTGCCCAGGTAAGAGCCAGCACCCACACCTCTGATGTCAAAGTCTGGCCACTTCAAACACAAAAAGCGTACTCAAGGCAGATCCTATAATGACAGACACTGTAAAATAAATCCATCAAATCCCACACATTATCAAGGATTGTGGAGAAGTAATAACCTGCAGTGCAGCAGACTCCTTTGGCACCCATCCTGGCTCCAAAAACTCATCCGCTGATTTGATGCTCACTGTGGAGTATGAGCCTAGAGGAGAGCCAAGACCATACATCTACTGTCATTGGTATAAACTCTGGTATTTGAGAGCACCGTACACTTTTGGTATCCTCCCAGGAGGAGGTCTGCTTCTCAGCGTCACCAAGGTGTACGTTCTCCCTGTCTTCCAGCAGGGAACCCTATTCTGTGAGGCTGTTGTTCAACTCCACAGATAGAACTACTGGCTTGCCCTACCACTGGCTCAGGGCTCAGCTGCCACCACCTCTTCACGAATGGCACTGGACGAACCAATATTCAACAAGTTAGCTATATTCCTAAAGTGTGCCTCCATGTTCCTCTTAGGAATACTGGGGCCTATCATTTTAAGCATTGAGAAGCAGATGACCAGCCCTCTTGAGAAAGGTGATACTGTCATTTGCCCTTTCCCTGAGCATCCGGGGGCCAAGACCATCTACACCAGCATACCAGGAAGAGCTGGATCCAGGGACAGAGTGGCACCAAATGCCCCGTTTTCACTGCCAAAGGACTTTCATTTTCATTACTAAATGAAGCAGTATTCTCCAGACTGGATGACTTTGAAGTGTTCCAGGAGCTCCTTTTGGGGATTACTGAGACTCTGCATATCAAGACCTTGGCTGTATCAGAGGAATCCTACAAACCGTTTAACATCTTGTCAGCTTCTGGTCCAGCCAGGATCTTCCTCCCCATAAATGAAGGACTGCCTAACCCTGCCAGTGCTCAGAGGCAGACACTGGCCATGATAACACCCATTGCAAAATGAGTCAGGAAGGGGTGGGATTTGAGTATTACTATGCTTCCCCAATTCAGGCTTCTTAGTAGCGTCAGTGAGACCAAAAAAAAGTTGAAGTAGAGTAAGAGGACTCACAAGGACCCCAAAAGTCTTAGCCTTAACCTACTGCAACTACAGGTAGCTTACTTCCAGACCTTACTGGCCAAATATTACTTCTAACATGGGACAGGGTGACATGCTTCCTGACAAAGCTCCTGCATGACAGCAGAGAGGAACTTAAAGACATAATTAAGCAAGGTGAACTACTGACCAAGACAGCCCTGCAAGTCATGATGGGCACCTCTGATGCAGGGACCAGGTGTGTGACTGCCACTGTGACAATTGCCATTCATCATGGTGTCAGGCACAGGGCATCCCAAGAAAGGTATAGGTCACAATCGAGGACTTGCCACTACCAGAGACTGTTTGCTATGGATTCAGGAGATTCTCATACAAAGCAGGAAGCCTTCTATCAGCAAGACTTCTTGAAATAGAAAAGATTTTTCCATGGTTACGTCAACACTGCTCACCTTACCATCAAGACTATCTTTCTTGTGGCCATCACCTCAACTCACAGTCAGTGAGCTCCAAGCCCTTATGGCTGAACCACCTTGTACTTCTTTCCATCGAGATGAGGTGGTGCTGAAATCATATTCCAAGTTCATCCATAAGGTGGTCTCTGAATGAATTTCACCTGAACTAATCAATTACTTTACCCATTTTTGTTGCCAAGGGCACACTTGATGTCATGAGAAAAGAAACTGCATACTTTCAACATGTCCAGAGCTTTGTTTTATTACCTTAACAGGACCAAGCCTTTCAGGCTGTCTCTCCATCTCTTTGTGGCCCTATCTGGCCTGTCAAAAGGCCAAGCCTTCTCATCCTAGAATCTCCAAGCAGATCATACAGTGCATTTCCACCTGATATCAGATGGCTGGCAAACCTTTTTTTCAAAATATCAAGGCACTGTGCACCAGGGCACAAGCAGCAGCATCTGCCTGCATAAGGAACATTTCAATGCAAGAGCTACAATGTGGAGTAACCAGTGACTTGTTTTAAACATTTAAGCTCTTACCCCATGGCAGCCAAGTCAGAAGCCAAGTTCAGGAAAGCGGTACTGCAGTCTATTTGACTGATTGTAGCTGAAACTCCTCACTCCCACCATCCAAGGAGGACACTGCTTGCCAGTTACCTGCAGTGGGATCCACATTGACTACACCATCTCAAAGAATGGTTATTTACAGTAATTGTGGTTATTTAATACATTGTTGTCAGTGTGAATCCCACTTTTCAGAATCCACAGCTACTTAGAGTTTTGAGTTGAGAGGGACCTGAGGGAGGGTTATAGTCACTGTCCTTTATGTTCTTGCATGGGAGAATGAGGCAGCACAGGGCACATGTGCAGCTCTGACAGACACTATTAAAAATAAAATAAAATCTTGCATACATGAGGCACATGCATTTATGATGGGATCCATGCAGACTGTCGCATCTCAAAGAACCACAGTTGCTGCAGGGTAAGTAACTGTTCTTTTCATTTTGAAGTATTAGTAAGCCCTGAACAACTATAGCACAATTACTTGGATAGGTAGAAATCTTGAACTGAATAAGGTGCCTAGAGGCAGTGGTGGAGCTAGGCTGCTATTTTAGGAGAAGGGGGCTCTCCTCCCATCCTGCTGGTTAGAGGTAAGATGTGTGAGGGGAAAGAGAGAAGCATTTTGATGAGAGGGTGGTGCAGGCTGGGAGATAATGAAGAAAGTAAATGAGGTAAGGCAGTTATTGAATATAGAGAGGGAGGAAGAAGGAATGCGTGGGAGAGACTGCACTTGTAACTGTTTAAATTTGAGCTCTGCCATTCATTCATTCATTCATTCATTCATACCACACACACAGAATGATCTGTAAATGTTCTGTGATATGATCTTGTAAAGAAATCTATATTTTGGTGCCCACATGCTGTTTCTCCAGAGTTAGAAAATGTGTATATTAAAATTATTACATAGAGGGATTTTAATAAGTTTGAGTATAAAAAAAACAACCAAGAATGAAAATACATTCATTTTTTCTAGTGTGTTTTAACACAATAAAATTTTAGTAATTTTTTTTTGCAGTGGACTACAAAAATGAGATTTGAATAATATCCATCTTGCACAGTCAAGGGTATAAGCATGTTTTTTAAAAAAACCAAAACAGCCAGGGGCATTTTGACCACAGCTTTTTACCATCTCTCATTGCATATATATTTAATGTTGATGGGCTGCTAAGAAGACTTTTTTCAGATGGTTTTATCAACTGTCTTGTGTGGTAATCATTAGCTGGGCCAGAACCCCAAACATACCTCCCAGATATTTGGAAAACTACTTCCTTGGCTATTTTCTTTTTTTGTGAAGAAGCTTATAAACACTACTCTAGTTCTCTGTGATATATTACTATTATTTCAATCAATTGTTTTTGATTTTGGGGGTTAAATTTTGTTTTAATTCACCTTGGATACATATTTGAGACAACTGATTCTATACTTTTTTAAAGAAAACAAGCAACATCTTCAACTACATTTAGGAATGATTTCAAAATCTGTTTACTTCACACCTACTTTTTAACTACAATATTTATGTTTAATAAAATGTAGCTTTGCAGATACATAGTTCTTATGGTAAACTGGTGGCTTAAACTGTTAAAAAGATACATTATTTAACTGAAAGACTATACAGGGCCTGCATGAGCAGCTACACTTCATAACTGTCTCATTCATATATGTCCATCTAGGTCATACATACCCATTTTGAGTATATATAATACCCGTGCATTTTTATCATATACATATTATTATGAAATGTAAGTGCCATCCATATTCAAAAAAAACCTGCATCTTTTGCCCAAAATGTCCAAAACACTTAATCCCCACTTAATCTAGCCTGTATCCCAAACAGACTCAACAATGAGTGGTGCCAGTCATTTTTCAGCTTTGTTATTAGCAAGGGCCTGTGCAAAGGATGGATCTTCCAATGTGCCCTCAATGTAGCAAGATCATGACCTGCTCTTTGAACTGGATCTAGAAATAGAGTGGGCCTGATGGGTCACAGTGTCTTAAAAACATAAGAACGTCCATACTGAGTCAGACCAAAGGTCCATCTTGCCCAGTATCCTGTCTTCTGACAGTGGCCAATGCC